TGATTCCTCTTCTTCTGCGGCCACAAGGAATTAAAATGGTCCTCGGTTGTTCTGTACCGCGGCGTTCATACAAGTTAACGCCACCATAGCTGCACATCATGCTGCAGACACCAGGGGCGTACGAAAGCCTCACTTCGCTGCTCTGTGCGAGCTGGTCACCGGCTGGGCGATCTATCTCCGATTCCTCCTCAACGCACACTGCCTCCTGGTGATCCGCATAGCATTCAGATGGTCTCAAAGTCATATTGCATTGCACGTGATCCCAAGTAGGGCTGTACGCCGAGAGGCCGGAAGTGCTGACGTTGGCTTCGCCTGCTTGCGGCGCATCACTACCGTCGGCCAAGGCGTGGTGGGCAGATGCGGATAAAACAAGCTTATAGTACATTAACCTGTCTTCGGCAGACATGGATTGATTGAGTGAAGCACTCTCAAAGTCGGCCAAGGACTGCCACGTAGTAGGCAAATCCCCCACCGCCTGATCGCTGAGTCTGCTCTCCTCGCTGGCATCACTGGGAACTGTTGGTATCGTAGACAGGTAAGGTGTGTCATGTCGTGACCCATCCGGCAGGACAAAGGTGAAAGACTCCACGTGCCCAGGAGGTGTCGAGTTGGAAGGCCGCAATGCCAATTGCTGAGGCTCGAGGGTGGTCTTGTTGCCTGTTGTCAGACTGGAGGACAACGAGGAGACATCAAGCTGCCACTCACTTGAGCTTGATATATGGTAGTGGGCGCGTTGACGAAGGGTCCAGCTACCCTGTCCCCTCTGTGTATCCCCCGACAAAAGAGGACACGGTGGCCGATGGCTGACACGAATTTGATTCCGGTACCAGCGACGAGTCGGGAAGCTTATGTGGAGAATTCGAGTGCTCAGCTGGAGCCTCGAGATGGAACCCTTCTTGAACTCCATCCTCGGTACCGGTCAGGTTGGACTGGTTGGTGGAAGAGAGATCAGGGTGTCCGGCCGAAGGCAGCTATGAGCTTGGAGCTCCACTCCACCCAGGACTGCTGCTTGAAGCCTTCATACAGGTGCCGCGCCGCTGCACCTTCCCGAAGACGGTCTACAGCCGCGGTCCATTTCTGAGATTCCGTCCAGGCCTCGCGCATTGCTACCACGTTCATGGTGTCCACCTATCTGTCGGCGTCTTCCTCTGCTTCTTCCAGCTAGCTCCTCGCACCCAGAACCCCGATTCCGCTGCTCTTAGTCATCAGTGCTCATCCCACTCGGCCATGACTGCGAGTGCGTGGAGCTGCCGACACTGCTTCATGTGGGCGCCGTTGGCTGCATCGTGGTGGTCGGACTCTTCCACGCTTGAAGCTTGTCTGAAAATATTTTTGAGCGAAATCCAGTGGCCGACATTGAATGCGTCACCGTGGTCGTTCGAAATGTTGGTTAGGATGCCGAGGTTCGCTGAGGTTTGGCGTAAACTTTGGCCGATATCGACTCGGCGTTACGACTTTGTGTTGCGGTGGTCTGTAACCTTGGCATGTTGCGACGTTTCCAGTGCGTTTTCCGACTGGCGGAATAAGTTCTGTCGCTGCGGTTGATCTCGTCCGAGGTTCAACGCGTTCGGAAGACTTGGTGAAAACAGTTCTGGCGGGTGGCATTGACTTCCTCGCCTGGGCCGGACCCGTCTAGGCTGTGACTTGGCACGCTGAGGCGGTATTTGTTGCCTTGGTCGGCCACAGTGTCGTTGTTGACGTTGGGCATTGGCATTCGCTCGCACCTTGGTCGATGAAGACTCGGGGATATGAAACTGGTTGTACCTCGGTGGTCTGTCTTTACGATGCAGTAACATGGTGTAGAGATTTGGTGGGCTGACAGTGGGTGTGTTGGAGCAGTCGTTGCTTGCCGAGTAGACATTCATGTCGTCTGAGTGGCGTGGCGTGTTTTTGATGCGCATTTGAATGCCGAGCCGGAAAATTCTTGCGCAAAAGATGGTGAGTGTGAGCCCTCACAGGCCACTGGACACAATCATGATGCGACGTGCCCGCAGCTTCCTTGCTGTTATCGCTCTTGTTTTGACCGAGCTGGTCATGGCCTGAACAATCAGGGGTGATTTCTATGGTGACGACTTCAAGGGGGTCTGCGCGACGTTCACGTTGTACGTTGGGAGTCAGAATGGCGTGCTTGTCTTCATGGGCAAGATCGTACATCTTGTTGCCAGAAAGGCCGATGCTGGCTCTCTCTGTCTGGACGGCATCGATGTAGCTCACACACTCGGCCACTGACTGCAGATGTGGTACACACTGGTCCAAGATTGTCTCCTTGCTATCCACGGTTGTCTCCGACAGCTCTATCTTGGAAATGGCATTGGTTGCTGGCACGGAAGTTCGTGAGATGGGTCCTGGTGTGGATCGTGGCATCGGAAGAGTGATGCCTGCCTTGGAGACTGTTTCAGTGTACCCTGCGGAGCGTTCAGCCAAGAGGTCATCAAAGCTCATGCTCGGTACAGATGCACATTCGGGATGGTTCAGTGTGGGTATGTCGTGTTTTAGGGACGTCCTTCACGATGCCCGTCTTCGATAGTGGTCTTTGGCTGAGCTGAACTTGAATTGGACGATGGCAGAGAGTCCGAAAGCTCGAGTGAACGGCAACGCATGACTGCAACCTGGAGGCGGAAACCCTCCAGCGCCTTATCCTCGGTAGTCGTCAGGTTAAACTGCGTGGTGAAAGGAAGATCGGAGAGTGTCAGGCCGAAGGCAGCTATGAGCTTGGAGCTCCACTCCACCCAGGACTGCTGCTTGAAGCCTTCATACCGGTGCCGCGCCGCTGCACCTTCCCGAAGACGATCTACAGCCGCGGTCCATTTCTGAGATTCCGTCCAGGCCTCGCGCATTGCTATCGCATTGACGGTTGTGACCCAGCTGTCGGCGTCGTTTCGGATCCCGTGGAATTTCAGTAGTTCGCAGACGGCGGCTGATTGTGAGGTGGCAGGTGGCAACGCAGAGGTCACCGACGCGAAACAGTCGAGCAGGTGTGAGAGCTCGATGAGAGAAGACCGAAGCTCCCTGTGTTGCTCCGGTTAGCTTGCCTCAAGATCGTGTGAGGCAGCTACATCCAACACTGCGGTAATGTCACACAATGCTCGCAACATTAAAGGAGCTCGCTCACAGATGGATGCTGTAACAATACTTTTTTGCAGACTAGTTGGTTTAAACTTGAAGGCTTAGCCTTCAAGTCAATTAGATTGATATTCATAATTTTCATTACGTCCAGATCAGCGGCATGTCAAAGGGAACTCGAATAGGCTCTAATTATGCTAACATTTTCATGGACACTCTAAAGAATGATTATCTGTGCAGGATGCTGAGGATGATTCATGACGAAATGCTTGATATTCATTCTCCCGTTTGTCACAACAATTAAGATTTGAGAGAATTGCTGAAACATGAAAAGAAACATAGAGAAACCATGTCGACGCAGACACCTGCTGGGTGGATAGATTGGATGAATTGATATGGCTGTAAACTTTAGATCGAGCAGTGGCGTGAGCCACCGCACGATGTAAATTTTGACCACGTTCTAACACGCTGATTTCACGTATGAAAACCCGATAATGTGGCGGGGGGGATAGCTGTCGTGGTAGCTCTGTGGAAGAGCATCGAACGCGTTATTCGAAGGTCGCAGGTTCGGATCCTGCTTACGGCAAGTTATCTTTTCAGCCACTTTTCTTTCTTATTTACATTAAAATTTGGTCTAATATCTTCCCTTATACTTTCCTTGGCATTATTGTCTGTTAGATCTCATATATAAATATATAATTTGTGTATATGTGTGTGTGCGACAAACAGAAAAAAAAATTCAGCATTTTACGAAGCAACAATTTTCGCACATACGAAGAACAAGGCAGAATGGCAGATTCATTAGCCACGCTCGCCATTTGACAAATACGCATGCTTCTTATCCAGAAGAATAATGGATGGTTCGCTCGCGCGGTTGTCAGGTTCCCGCGCCATTTTCTGTTCTGTTCTTCGATGATTATCCGGCTACGGTGTTCTTTGTGCGCACGCATTATAGCTGCGTTTACGAACTGTGCATGACAAGCACACTTTATGAGCCAAGAAATCCCCAGAGCGAAGTTTTGTGTCAGACTTTCGTACCGTAAACGCTCGTGGTAGCGCATGTGTGAGCCAGCCGTCGATTAACTTTCATTATGATGAACTCGCAAGTCTTGGCATATATCTTTCAGGTATACCACCACACGTGCCAGTTCGCACGTCGAATGGGCGGGTCCAGATAAGTTTTTATATCTTCTCTAGCTTAAGTTGTTTCTAGGCGTCCGCGGTGTCCTGCATTTCTTCTTGTGCCTGTGTTTACACATTCTGTAATTTTCTGAGAGGACTCGATCAACGCGGCCGTGTTGCGCTAAGTCGGAGCACGTGCCGCCTGTCTCGAAGGTCACGTGCTCTATTCAACGTGGCGCCGGCGCATCCTCTGTCAGCGAACAATTCAGACGGAGAGCTGCTGTTTCGAAAAAGATCTAATGTTCAGCGCGATCAAGGTTTTTTGGAGAGTTCCCGTCGTGAACTGTCGTGAACGCCCCCGAGTTCAAGAAAGTTTTACGTAAGGAAGCACACGCCACCGGTGATAAGAATGCGCAACAATAATATAAAGCTGCACATGCAAAGAAATATCTCGAAATTTCACCAAAATTATCTTCCAAAAAGCGGCCACACATGACACGCCATCATTAGCTGGTGCAGCGCATAAAAGAAATGTACTAACAGTCGCGATCTGGCATTGTCCGGCCTTGTTTTCGCATTATACTGGCAAGCTTCATTGCGGCAAGACATAAGCACAGAAGACGAGCACTCTTTTGCCCTCTCAGTCATTTTGTAGCCATATTTATTTCCAGTAACTTAGAGAAATGTGAACTGAAGCTGGCACGCGGTGCAGATTGGTAGTCTTTGTGTTCACTTCTTCAGCGGTATGCGTAAGAGCTGGACCATGCATAACTGTGGAGACGCAATAGATTCGGGGGTCTTTTGGTAACCCGCAGGTGGCCATTCTACTGTTACTGTCCCGGTCACTGGTCTACTGGCTGTGGTGGTGGCGCGTGGATCCTGACAATGCAGCCATACCTTTCATCACGGCGGCTGGCGACTTCACCGGCACGGGTCTGCTGACCGTCGCCTTCTTCGCCTTGGAGTACGTCGGAGACCCCACCGTCAATGGTTGAGAGCCCGTTGGTCGGACTGAATGGCGTCACACACCGCTTGCACTTGCTGCGTGCTACTACATAACACCGGCCACGTTTTTGGACAGTTTTAAAGAGCATACTATCTTGGTGAAGAGTCCACCTCAAATGTTGTCGATTCCTGCACCTAAAATACGTTGCATTATTATCAGTACATTAGAAATGCGTAAAACAGAGTCTCAATTGCTCTTGTATTTACTCGTACTACCTTAAAGGAGCAATGACATCAACTTGACGCATGTCCTGTTTTTTTGCGTCTACGCGTAGTTTTTGATCCTCTACATACTAAGTATTCGGGACCTATATTGCAACAGAGTGAAGAATTGACATATATATTATTGATTAGTGAGACCAGCATAGGTCGGCAAACTCACTCATGTGTCGACTCACACAGACTCACTCAAGCTCAAATGAAGTGTGAGCTGAGTCTGACTGAACTACACTTAGGTGAGCCTGAGCCTCAGTGAGTCCACTTTACGAAATTCTTGTGAGTTTGAGTCGGATTAGTCCGTCAGAGTCTCACTTTGGAAAGTCTGAGTGAGTCCACTCGAGAAAACTTCGGTAAATCGGAGTGAGTCCGCTTGATGAAACACTTTGTGAGTTTGAGTCCGAGTTAGTCGGCTTGAGGAAAATTTTCGTGAATCTGAGTCCGAGTGACAAATTTATTCGTAAGTCGGTGTAAGTCTGGCTGAGTTTTACATTTGTGAGTGTGAGCGCGCCTGTGGAAAATTCTAATGAGTATGAATAAGAGTGAGTCCCGTTGATTCAAGCACTCCTGAATTGGAGTCAAGTGAGTTTGCTTCAGCAGAATGTAGGTTAGTCTGGGTCCTAGTGAGAGTCTTAAGCGAAAAACATATTGGGTGAGTCTACGTGGGCCTCACTTATTTGCCTGCCAAATGGTTCCAAATATTTAGGACCTCCTGCTATGAATGAATCCTGTTGCAACCGGCCTTAGTGGCACAGCCGTTCCGGGATGAAGATGTCGAGAAGTAAGGTGAACCTAACAGCGGGTTTATTTGCATTGTGTACATGGTGAGCATACACCGCTAGCCGTTCGGCGGCTTGTTTTAAAAATAAAAGAACGCTGCTGCCCCGTCAGCCGAGACGCTGGTCACAACAGCTCGTTCACCGGCGGGAGACTCGACCTGAGTGTGAGCAGCCGTACAGGTCACATAAGCTTCGTTGTTTGGTGTCATCCTCCAAGTAACTGCCGATTACGCCCAGTCAAGGGCTCTCCGGCTTGTTTCTGGTTGCTTTCCTTCTAAGAAAAGCATTCATACACACTACCACAGGCACGGGAGAGCGCTCTGCCCGCACTGAGACATATGGAGTCCACAAATCATCTAAAACAACCTTCCTTAATTAGGTAGTATTTCACACCACATAGAAGCAATCAGGACGTTTGTCTGAGCTTTTAGCGAAGGTGCTAATTCCGATTCCGGAATAATCTTCCTAATAAATTACTTTTCAGAAACTTGACTGTCGAGTGATGCGCTCTCCGTGGCATTCCTGTGTGCCAGCGTCAGTAATCTGCTGTAACCTAGCAGGCCTCAAACTCCTAAAATAAAGCTCTTTTCTTCGCGCAATATTTTAGTCCCCAAGATTTCGTGCCGCCAAAGCTAGTCGTCAGTTTCCTCGGAGCCGACGAAGAGATAATGGTCGTGCTGCACCAGCACCAGGAAAATCCACATTACAAGTCCGCAATCGCACGCTATATTGCATCGGCACGGGCGCACTACTAGTTCTGCCTTGCGATTACCATCTCCATAAAACGTAGACGTAGACTCATGAACTAACTTCCCGTACTTACGTCCACTCCGGACACAATTGAACAAAGTATTAAATTAACTAAAAAGAAAATTTTGCATGAACCCTGAAAAACCTCACAAGTATTATCCTTGCGTCTCCACGCTGACTCAAAATTAGCTCCTAACGTCGCTCCTGCTCACCCACTTGTACCTACCCGGACAAACGTTTGTCTGAGTATCGTTACGCAACCACACAACGCTCACCTTACTACAAAAACATACTTGCCTAAGAAATGAACAAAATCTACAATTAGTTACTAAAACACCCGTCTAGTAGCCAAGATACTTAAAAAACATATGCTAAAACCTAAGCCAACTCGAACAGTAAAAAAAGCTCAGAACAAAGAACAAATCTGCCATTTACCATCTACACAAACTTACGGCTCACCCATTTTTCTGATCAATGTGCGGTGGTCGCGCTCTATGGGCCCTTCTTATTGAACCGCGACTGCAACAATCAGGTAAGCCATTCGCTTTGCCTCCAAACCCCACTAAGCCTTTCACCAGTCAACCGAGTTCTTCCCCTCGTTCGGCTCTTTTCTGGGGACCACTGACTTTGTACTTCCCCGCCCTATCAAACCTGTCGTGGATACGACGAGGTGAGAAGTGACCCCTTCCCTCAGTCTTCATTTTTGCCCAACCTCTTTTTATGTTTATTTTCGTTTGGCGGCTCAAGCGCAAGAAAAGCCACGTTGGCGCGGATGACAAAAGCCTCATTTTGCTCAATACGCTGAAACGTTTACTACCTTTCTTCAAGCGGGTGCTCGTTATCGCACCCCTGCCTTTAGGACGCCGATTCCGTCTTCGCCTCTTCTTGGGCTGCACTTCTGAGTCTCCCGCTCGTGCCTCTCGCCCTCCAGCGCTCTCGCTGGCTTTGTTAGCCACCTGGCTCACGTAGTGTAAATTATTTGCGTACAAATCGTCTTTTTTCACACTTTCCAGACTAGGGGCAGTCTAAACATCTCGTAACACTGCAACTGCTTCCTTCCGAACTAACCTCACATTTCTGGGAACTGCTCACAACTGTATTGCCCTCACCGATCTCTACTAGCGCTTCATATCGTGTATTCACCCAGGTTTTTCTGACTATAGTGGGTCAAAATTTTCTTGGAAACGTATTCAGGATCCACCGTGGCGACACTCTCACCAGAACTCCACTCACATGCCTGGGAGCTGTCTACCACCACTCTACCCTGCGCTACTTCCTCACACTCCGCGAGCCTAATGCTAATGTTGTTGCCTAGCTGGTCGAAATCTCACACAACATGGCGATATCCTCACTTTGTGTCTGTTCCAGATGGTCTACAACCATTTTAGCAGTTTCCCGCCTAGCACTGCACCTCGCCACATTTTCTCTCGCCTTCGGCGATCTCTCCTCTAAGAGCAGCCTATTTTCCAGCTGTCAGCCTCGGTTCATTCATGAACCTGCTGCTACCCTGATGGGTGCTGATTGTGTTGCCTTCCTGTGTTCTTCATCCTTTATCTTCTGTTTTTCATGCATTCCTGTTCCATTATGTATTCCTGAAGTGTTCAACATCAGCCTCGTTACTTATGCTTTTGATATATACTTAACGGAGTATAGATACAGGCATATCGTCTACAAACTCTAAATAATACCACAATTTTAGCTGGTTATTTCTGGTCAATCTCATCAGGTCCTTGACGACTATTCTTCTTTGACCCAGCTGTGATAAAACGCAAACCCACCAGTTTCAATACTTAGACTGCATAAATTGAAGCCTGTCAAATCATACAGCAGAGACCAAAAGCTTATTCACACACACCGTCCCTCGTAGCCAACCTCCCTCTCTACTTTCTTCCTATTTCTTTTTCACTCCTCTGTGAGTGGCGCAGTGGTTAGCGTCTTCGAATGGAAATCCGCATATCCAATCCTCTGTGATATCCAACATCCTAAATCTTTCCCGCAACTTCCCCTTCAAACTTCCTGTAGTAAATCAGTCGGACGCTCCGCTGGGAAATGAACGTAGGTTTATTGACGCCCAGTCAAATGAACGTAGGTTAATTGACGCCCAGTCCTTCTTTAGAATGGCTGCGAACTCGTGATGAGGCCACCGCTGCTTGCGTGGGTGATAAGCGATAAAATGCGCATGTGACGTCAGTACACAGCACTCCTTCCTTCCATGATTCGGCATACCAAATATACAAAGCTACTTCTTGCTATTCATTTATGCCAGAACGTAGAATATCCCGTCGAACACGCGTTGATCTTTGCGGCGTGATCTGATCATGGCCAGCCTGCTTCGGGCTTGCCTCTGATGTCTCTGCACTCGTCAACTGTTGTTGTTGGCTTCTTGTACTTGGCTTATGAGCAGCTTGACCTGGGCTCACTGCTACAGTTGCTTCTGGGATCGTCACCTGTGGTTGGGGTCGTGTTGCCGCGGAACAAAACGCGGTGTGGCAGCCCACCCCGCTACCCTTGTCTGCTTCGCTAGTCGTCCAGGCACTTCTCCGTTGGTTCCGATGTCGGTGATGGCACTCGCCGTTTTCCAACGGGACCGTGTATGACACCGGGCCTCTGACCTCCACCACTCTGGCAGCTTTTCACCAGGGACTTGGAGTGAAGCTTTTGAAGAAGACAGTGTCACCAACACAGTAACTCTGTCTCTGGAATGTGAACTTCAGGCCCATGCACTCGGTCCGCAAGAAGGCGATCCAAAGCCATTCCCAGTCTCCGCCACATCATTATTTCTGCTGGAGATTTCGCTGTGACTGAATGTGGCATCGTGTACTGTTTAAACAGAAACCACGAAATCTTGCACTGTGTTGATCCTTCTTTTTGCTTTTTTAGAGCTTCTTTGACTTCCCTTACCATCCTCTCAGCTCTACTATTACTGGCTGGATGATAAGGTGCCGTAAAAACAACACGCACACCATTACACTTCAGAAATGTCTGCAACTCTGTGCTTGTAAAGGCCGTTCTATTATCAGAAATAACAACGTGTGGCACGCCATGTATCGCAAACACTTGTTTAGGCTTGTCACAATGACCAGAGCCTTCATTGACGACATGATTTCAACCTCGGCCCAGTTGCTGTATGCATCGACACAATAAGAAATACATCTCCTTTGAATGGGCCCGCAAAATTTATGTGCAGACGACTCCAAGGTTGGTCTGGTTTCAC